TTCTACTTCTATTTGTAGGTCTTTATATTTTGTGATTTTCTCCAGTTCTTTCTCTTCTATTTGGCTGTCTCCAGGTATTGCAGTGTCCATCATCATCATAATCATCATCATCATCAGCAGCAGCACCAGAGTTTGGCTGTATTTCCACATGCTGTAAATGATGGTTTACAAAACAGAATGACCCAGTCCCAGCCAAGCAAACCAGATTATCTTTTATCATGCTGTATGCATGAGGCCATTACACTAACCTATAACATGGTTTCTTTATTTTAGTGTAGCATGTTACATAAACAAACCTATTATGGTTTGTTAACCCCTTTGCGTGGACTGTCATATGCTGCTGAAGTTCAACTCCCAGCATTCTTAGGAAACATGTGAGAGGTTCTGGGACTTATAGTTCAGAACTATTTGGAATGTCACAGGTGGCTTCCCTCCTCCTTCTCTGAACACACACTTTCCCTGCCTACTGCCTTCCATTAACCTCCACTCCATTTTAGCCAGTCCCCAAGATCAGCTGGCTTGAGATATTTTGCTGTTGTAGGTAAAGGACAAGGTGGTGCCTCCCATTACATGTTTGGAAACTGACAAGAGTAGCATTTGGACCTTTCTTGCAGGTGATGCATATCTGGGGGCAACAAGCTCGTTTAGAAGGTGACACCCAGATGGTGGGGTACATACAACTCGGTCCTCCAATATTTCACTGCTGATTTCCACCCCTGCTGCCTGAGTTGGGTGCCTGCTTCTGCTAAATTGTCCTGCTTCCTGTTTATTATCTCTGTGGCTTTTTCTGAATAGGACATTTGATTCGGTGAGCTGTTTACCTCAATGCCAACTAAGCCAAAACTCTTGAGCAAGCAAAACAAGATAGAGATGATGACTATGGCAGTAAAAAAAAAAAGAGAGACTCCTTCCAGCCTAGCCAGTCTCCTTGTAGGTGTCCAGAGGTGCCCATGGGGTGGGAGTGGGGGCAGGGGCAAGGGACAAAATGTACATTGCAATGCAAACGTTGCCACTTATATAACTTCTCTGTGATGTTGTGACCCAAATATGAAATGGTGGAGCTTGCAAAATGCATATTTCATCATTTTGGCATCACTGTGGCTTGGTTTAGACACCTATGAATACGTCCATGTAAATTTCTTTGCAACAGTATGAAAGTGGTTTGTATTTGCTACAACCTTCTTCTGAGATGGGTGGTTTTTTGTTTTTTCTTTACTTTAGATGGGGAAGGAGGAAGTTATCTCTACTTTCAGATAACTACCAGAAGAATACTATAGAATGATGAGATAGTTCACAGTGATGGTTGTGAGGATACAATTGAAGCAAAAGCCCTATACATATGTTAAATTCTGTATAAATGAACAATATACTATACATCATTGATAATTAAAGCCCTTCTTAGTCTCTACCATTTAAGGCCTTCTGATCAGATCAGGTCATCCTCTATTTTGGTCATTGACCAACTGAAGTCCTTTCCAGAATGGGCACTTGCATAACCTACCAGCCTCCCATTACAGAGAGTCCCCAGTTTAAGAATGAGTTCCATTCCCAAGGTCTGTCCGTAAGTTGAATTTGTATGTAAGCTGGAACAGTATTATTGTATAATTGTATTGTATTGTATAATAATAACAGTATTATTGTATACAGTATTGTATAATACTGTATAAGTAGTATTGTGTATTTAACTCAAATCATTATGTATTTAACTCAAACTGTGCTACAATAGACTCCGTTCTTAACCATGGGTCATCTGTAAACTTAACCCAGGGACTACCTGTATTATTGTTCTGCCATTTGAAGCTTTAACATTTTACCCTTTTGCAGAAGTGTAGAGTCAATAGTATAGAACAGTGTTTCTTAGTCTCAACAACTTTAAGATGTGTGGATTTCAACTCCCAGAATTCATGCTGGCTGGGGAATTCTGGGAGTTGAAGTCCAGACATTGTAAGGTTGCCGTGGTTGAGAAACACTGGTATAGAATCAGTGAAATATAGAGCTCCATGAATCCACAGACATAGCTTTCCAGGCCATTCCTCCAGCTAATTGTAACTGTGCAGTCAGTAGCCGAATCCTTAGCCCTAGTTATGAAATCTCATAGCCTCCTACTGACTACAGTATATTTTTAGAGCAGAAAAGCTTCATTGAGCCCTGCTGGGATTGTGGGAGGTCATATTTTGCTTTGATATTTCCTTCTCCCAGAACTGGTTTTGCCACTTAATTGTTTCTTGGATCTCCACCCAGGGTTGCTCCAGGTAGGGTGTGTGTGTGTTTGTTTGTTTTTTAAGATAAGGCAGACATTCCCTTGAGCCAAGATGAGATTACAGATTGGAATTGGTGGAGGTTCTAGAAATAACATTTGTGATCATTGGGCAAGCTGTAACATTCAGAAATAAATCAGACCTCAGGAACAGTTTATGAATTCTCTGAGAAAGGGATGGGTCACAGATCCCTTCAACGTTGTAAAATTTGTATGTTTTGGGATCTCCAAAGCCTATCTGATTTACCTTATTGCCAATAAGAAATTTCATCATTAGCATATTTCAAAGAAGTCTATCAAAACAGTTTATATCCTTGGACTTGGAACCAACTCTGCCCTTTATAACAAAAAAATATAAATGTGCTTTCTCATCTGCATGAGATTCTTTCAAATATTTTGAACTGGCCACTTTATCTTTTCAAACTAAACAATACTGCTGATTAATTGCCTCAATAACCAAAGCATTTCTAGGTGGCATACAAGAAAATATGGAACAGAAATATATGACTGCAATGGGGGACTACAATATAATTAAAAACAATCGTCAAACGGGGTTACCAACCACTTTGCCCAGCACCTACTGGAAAAGCCAAGTCTTGCTGGCTCTTCTGAAAGCTAGGTGCTAAACAGACTTCCAGGAAGATGCCATTCCACAGGGCAGAAGCAGCCACAATGAATGCCCATCTTTGGAAGGCATGCTTCAAAGTTTCTGCACTGGATGGTCTCCAACTCCTCACTCCCTCTGTCCTATTCTGGTTGTGCTTGGCATCCTCCTTAAATGGTGGTGTTTGGATCTAGATCTAGTACTCCAGCTGAGATCTGACCAAAGGAGAATACAATGGAACCATCTTTTCTTGCAGCCTAGACACCATGATGGAATTCATCCATTGTGCTAAGCCATGCTGTGGTTTACTTGGCTTTGGCTGAGCATGATGGTTGAATCTAGCCAATGTAATATGTAAAGTTATGGCTTGAATTGTTGTGTAAACCTAGCTTGGTGCGACATTCAACAAACAATGGCAAGCAAATGGCTTTGCAAGTTGTATGAAATCAGTCTGTAATGATGCAACTTATGTTTTGTTTATAATCTGTTATGAACCCTAATTTCTTTTCATGTGGATTGCTGCTGAGCCAACCGTTGGCCATCATATGTGGAGAACGGAGTCTTCCTATTTAAATGCATTGTTTTACAGATCTTTTTTGAAATGCATTTTGTTAGTTTGGCCCAGTCCTACAACTTGCCGAGATCATTTTGAATCCTGTTTTTATCTTCTAAAACAAGGACAGGCAAACTTTTCAAACTGAAAAACGTTGACACTAAATGGTGGATGACCTCACGAAAATGGCTGCATGAGAGACTTGCCTGTTCAGAAAATGGCTGCCATCACAGATACGGTCAGTCACAAAGCACCCATTTACCAGAAGATGAACTAGCTAGCAAGAAGGCTCTGTTCTATACCAATGGGGACTTTATGGTGTCTACAAGCATTATTACAAATACATATGCTAAAGGCTAATCCTCTACTTCCTATCTGCTATTTTTTAAAATTAAAATTACACTACTTTTAAAAAAGAGTCATGTCAGGCAGGGATTCTAGTAGGCAACAAGGGAAGTGACTAGCATTGGCAGAAGGGACAAATAGCAAAAAAGGTTTCAGCAGCATTGCAACTGCATGGTGTAAGCTTTGCCCCTTTTCTATGTGCATTGTGGCAGTGCGGCTTTGGTCATTTTGATAAAAGCCTCCAATCCTGCGGATGTCTTTTGAGCTACCAACATCATGTTACCTATCCCCATTCTAAAATCTTTCCTTTCAGGCATCTGGTTTGACTATCTGCAGGTCCTTGTTCCTTGTTCAAGCCATTACTGCATCAAAAACAACACTGAACTCAGGCCAGAACCGGGTGGCACTCCATTTGTCACTTCCCTGCAGGCTGGAGAAGAGCATTTTTGGGGGTGTGCATCATTAAGATGTGGAGCAGGAGCAGCCGTGGCTGGCTGGGGAATTCTGGGAGTTGAAGTCCACACATCTATGAGTTGCCAAGGTTGAGAAACACTGTTCTAAACAATGGGTACAAAATCCTCCAGCCAGTGGAACTGGAAGTTAGGATTGTGCTCTTGAATAGGTGTTTTCCAATTGTTTCAGTTTGCAGAATGTTAATTAAAAAAAAGTCCTCAGAACCCTGATCAAGAAACAAAGTTCTAGTCCTGTGGAATCCTTGGGGTTCTCTGAGCTTGGTTTCTAGTAGTTCCAGTAATAAAAAGTCGATCCTAATAGTTTCTAGTAAAGTTCTAGTAATAAAAAGTTGATTATGTTTGAATGATTTTCCCCCCCTTAGTCTCTCACAAGACCCTGTCATGTTTCTGTGGAGCCCTGGGATTCCCCAGAAAACAGTATGAAAGGCCTTCTTAAAAAAGCAGCCTACCTCCTTGAAGCATGGGTTATTGAAGCATCAGGGAATGAGCATTTAATTCATGGGCCTGCATGGTTTGCAGAATGTGCTATGAAAGTGAAAACCAGAATTAACGGTGGTTTATATATTTTCCTTTGGTTTTCTGCTTCTTCCCCACCTAAACATGCACACTGTTTGTACCTGAGAGCTTTTTCTACGACACTCTGAATTCGACTCCTCCCAGGTGTTTTTTCGTTTAGCTTAGTCAACAGATGACGCCGTAGTAGAACCCTGCGCTGACTAGCCTGTATGTGGCTCTGAGATATCACATGAGTTTCCTTTGCGGCCTTTGTTCCCCTCTTTGCCCAACCACAGCTGTGAAACGGCAGGTGAGAGAAAATAGCCCATGGCTTTTATTTATATCTTGGTCTGGATAGAGAGAAAGAGAAAGACAGACTGATAAACAGCATCAGGCAGAATGTCCTTTTCTTTTACCTGTATCCAGATGGTTTGGATCTGGCAGAATACATTTAGTTACCCCTCCTGTACAAAACCATTTCTGGGCACGGAGAGATTGTATGACGCAGTTTAAGCCTATATTACAATTTTATCAATAGCTGTCACTCTTCTGTCAAAACTATTCCATCTTCCAGACCACCTGGGATGTCTTTCTAAAACACTTTACTGTTTCCCCATTCCCTTTCCCATTTCGTTCCGACGAGTTTTCCTTATCTTTAAAGCTCTCCACAGCCATGCCCAATTTTCTTTCTGCCCTTATTTATCAGATTTATATCCTTCCTTTTTCGGGATGGGGGTGGGGGGGTACAACTCAAGGCAATGTATTTCTCTTTGTATTTTCCCCACAACAGCCCTGGAAGGTGGGCTGGGCTGAGATACAGAGACTGGCCCAAAGTCACCCAGCTGGCTTCTGTGCCTATGGCAGGACTAGAACGCACGGTCTCCTGGTTTCTAATCTGGCACCTTCACCACTAGACCAGTCTGGCTGTTGTTGCCCATTAAAGCCTATTTGATGAGAATATATATACTCTTCCAGCAAAGGTTTTAGATTTCACACTGAAGCCCTTTCCCCCTGTTGAGTTGCTCCCACCTATCCCTGACTTGGGAGGAAACTGTACCAGCATGACATTTCATGTCCCCACTGCTGATCCCTATCCTGCCTTTATTCCCAGGTACTCAGTCAACTGGATTCCCTACAAGATGACAAATCTGAACAGATTTTATAGACCTTGAGGCCCTCTTTGGACAAAATTGGAGTAAGAAGGCAAATCCTACTTTAACTCTGGAACAGCCAAGGATGACTTATTCGTGGGTTGAGGTTGAGATGAAGGCAACATCTTGGGGACAGGGCAGAAAAAGATGTTGCCCTGGTGTGTTTGTGCCATGGTTACACACAAGAACAGAAACTTTCTGAGACAAAGCCCTATTTGTTTTTTGTTGATTAAATCCTGCAGAAGGCATGGACCCTGACAGCTGGAGGATTTAGACCAGCTGTTGGGATAGTCTAAATATATTCCTTCCAGGAGGGTTTTTTTTTTTTTAAAAAAAGAGAAAAACAGGAATGATAATAAATGCTACTCTTGTCTCACTTCTACCCTGCTGGTCTGCCCATGTAATAATAAAATGGTGAGTACTGTGCATATGTTGAAATGCTTGAAACATGAAATGTTTCATGTTATACCTGGAATTCAATGTGCTGGTATCTGGTACTAGGTTAATTACTAATCTGGGACTAAATCTGGAAATACAAGCAGTAAGATAATAGCATGTATTTCTAAGGTAAATAATGCATCTTTTTCTTAGGCAAGCTTGAACCCCGTTTTAGAAATTAACCATTCCTTGTTTATACGCTCTATGGAAGCCAAGTGTGCATCTCTTTAGTGCAATGAGATGCATATGGGCCATGGTTTTTACTGTTCTATTAGTTTTCAGTGCTGTAAGCCACCCAGAGTTTTATGGAGTTGGGCAGACTTTAAATCTAATAAACAAACAAATAAAAGGGGATATTGTAGACATTATCTGAAGCGACCTTCCCAAACTCCGTGCCTTCCAGACATCTTGGACTAATACTCTTATCATCCTCAACCGGAAAGCTGGATTTAAACACTTGATGAACCCTTGTAGAAATTGGCTCCAGACCTCTCACTCTCTGGGCTTTTATTGGCCTTTCTCTAGCACACAGACAGTTTTTGAAGGCACTTATATGTATTCTAAGTGCTGTTTGGGAAGTCTTCAGGAAGAGAGTTGGGTTATATAACAGTGAGGAGGAGCGAATGTCTTGGAGAACAGTCAGTGTGAGCAGCCTCAGGTGGCCAGGCAGGTGAGGCTCAAACATGCTGCAGCTTGTAGAGATCACAGTAGCTAGCAGGGAAATTGGGTTGCCTTGACGTCACTTTCAGTCTCTTGGTGGAATATGAAGCCTAAATGACCATATTCAGGGTGGAGGAACTTGGACTTAAAAAGGATCTGTGCATCAAAACATGTCTATTTTTTTGCTTGTTAAAGATGTATACTGCTGTGTTCTCAGCAGTTTACAGAATGAGAATGACATATAACCCAAATGTTCATGGTAAAAAAAGTACAATTTGATAAAAATTAGAATGACTTAAGGTTAAAATTATATTCTGTGGAATATCTGTAGTTAGTTTTAAGATAAGGACTTTTCTCCCCTATTTTCAATACCTATGGTCTCTACGTCTTCAGCCTCTAAGCTAAAAGTGAAATAGAAATACAGACACACACATTGCTATTTCACTTCCTAGTTTGTGTTTGTGTGTTTATATATATTGAAAACCAGTAGGGAAATGTTTCCATTTACTTCTTCAGTTTAAATCAGCAGGGTATTTGATTAGGCTTATCAGCCTTGAAGTCAGCATTTCTAGTATGCGAACCAGGCTTGGAGCCAAAGCACAATGGATCCTTCCCCAACATGGCACCTGTAGATGCATTTCACTACAACTCCCAGAATTTTAAGTGAGCAAAGAAGTACTTCCTTTTGTTTGTCCTGAATCTTCCATTATTCAGTGTTATTAAATGAGGATGGAGCTAGAGAGTATGGGAGTGGGAGTGGGGAGAAGGAGTATTACTTTTTCCCATCGTATATAATTCCATAATATATGTATCACTTCATATTTAGTACATTCCTCTTTACTTGTCTTTTTCTAAGCTAAGATGCTTCAAATGTTGCAATCTATCCCTTCTGAAATGCTAATCTAGCCCTTTCATAATTTTAGTTGTTCTTTTCTGCACCTTCTCCAGCTCTACAATCCTAAAATTGTATATTAAACGGGAATTCTCATTATTATTAGTTCGGCTTTCAATGTTGACTACCAAAATGCCTTACTATGGCAGCCAGTGGTCTATGAAGGGAAGTAAGGAGGAGCTGAGCATTCCTAAATTTTACATACAGATGCAGAACAGGCCCTGTAAATCTGGAGCACCTCTGCTCTGTCTGCTTCCTAGCAAGATGTGATCATATTATGCTAGGCTACCATTTGCCAAATGATTTAAACCAGGACTATGTTTGCAATTGTACTTTTTAAATTTAGTGCAGTGATGGCGAACCTATGACACACGTCATAGCCATGACATTTTGGGTGACACGCCAGCATTCACCAACACCCGACAGCTATTCTTCCTCTTTGAGTTACCAAAGAAACTGAGTTTGTTTTACTCAGTATTTCATTTTTGTAATGATTTGACATTTCTTTATATAG